AGCTATTTTAAAAGAGATAATGAATGTGGCACTACGAAACAAATAAAGGGAAATAATAAAGAGACAAGGGGTGGCGACGCGATTTAAATAATTTCTCGTTGAAATTCAACAGGCATTTTTCGCCTTTCCACCTACATTCCTATTATTATTGTCCTACATTTAATTATCTCATTTAAAATGGCTACTTCTAAAATTTTCCATATGATAACAGCATATATATGCTATAACGGAAAATTTACACCTTGGTTGAGGATCGAAGCGTGAAACTTCGCCAGTCGCTTCACCGACTGAACTATCCTAACCTATCATTAAAGGAGTCATCGAAACCATTAAAAAACCTATAAAGCAGGAAGTCTACTGCTAAATTGGAAACGTAAGACGAATTGGGAAACATTGCATTTCCTCTCTTCCCAAAAAGTTTTTAATTTGAATTAGTTTTTATGATAAAACTGTATTTTTAAAAGAACGAAATACAGGCCTAGTGGGTGTTGGATCAATTAATGTTAGTCACATTTTCCATTTTTGAAGCACTTACAGAAAGTGTCGCAAAAAGTTAAAATCAAATGGAACAGCCTTGTCTGATTAATACGGGCCGAACTGGGGATTTACAGGTATTAATACAGGTAAGAAATTAATTTTTCGCAGATTACTATAATAGAGTTGCAACTAAATAAAAGCTAAGTGAAATGTTGTGAAAAGAGTTGTTTTAATTTATCCACAAATGATTTACAAATAAATTAAAATATAATACAATTTATTACGGAATTCCACATAGCCTGGTTAGGCCCAGCTGTAACTTTGTTACGGATAAACACAGAATTATTTCTTACGACATTTTGTAAATGTTACTGTTGAGATTATAATCAGCTTTGTGACGTTTCTGATACTGGTGAAGACAATAGCGTCAATACTTTCTAGTAGCCTACAGAAGTAGTTTCAGGGTGTTGGGACTTGGTTTACGCGGGTGTGGGCCTGGCTGACTCCTGTATTTAGACCGAGATGGTAAAAGAGGAAGGAAAGCGTCATGAGTTCTTCCTAGAACTGTTTTTTATGCAGTGTTCGTCTTGTTCACAATGGTGTGACTATAAATCTTTTCGAATTTAAAACAGAAGAAAATACTTGTGCGGTTTTCAGAATCTAATATTTGACGTATAATAAACAATGCCAAAACTGGGTGTAGCTGCTTAAAATTACTTGCATTACCTATGATTTATTACGTATGCACAATTCACAAATTAACAATCAATGAAAGACAAATTATTCGACAGTTAGTGGGCCTTATTTTACTATGACAATAGTATGTCATTTGTTAGGGTTTCTCAAGTGATTTAAGAGCAAACAGCTGGCGTTGTGTGGACTCGTACACACAAGCAGATCGGCCATTCCAAGTACGACTGCTGATGTGTTGACGTCTTCTCTGACGCAAGATAATGACACATTTCACATTTTTAAGATTAGATCCAAATATAATACAACAGTCTTCTTTTGAATGTATGCTTATCTAATTGTTTGTTAACAAAAAGGGAATTAAATAAAATCCATTTTGAAATTGTTACTGACGAAATAAATAGGCGCATTTCTGTAACATCTTTGCGAACAGGCCAAGATGTTAAATTTTCTCTTATATTAGTTGATTAAACGTAAATAAAAATCCATAGGCCCACAAGCAGCAGCAAGTACTATCACATCTAAATAAGATTTATTCTATTTACGCCTAAATTTTTGAAAGACAAAAATGTTTAAAAATTCAGTTCATACCTCATTCATTTAATGGTTCTGTATACACTACATACTACACAGAAAGGGAACCTGTAATCGAGTAAGCTACATTTTTGTCGTATTTTTAGTGAAACCTTAATACGTAGAGGTCTAACAGTGCAAACGAAGAGTATTTACTTCTAAATATGTAGGCCTGCTGAGCAATAAATAGTCCTTTTAGTAAAACAGGTTGATAAAACGTTGTTAATGTTAACAACAAACTGAAGACGAACACATGTCATGTAGCTTTTGTCCGCCGACAGCAA